TAATGCAAGGGAATTTCCAACATCCTACATCCACCCATTCACTCAAATGGGGAAAAGGGGCACTAAGTCGGCACTTAAGGTCTTGCATCCCCTCAAATCTCTGTAGGGTTACCAACTGCCAGTTGTGTCATGGGGGCAAAAAGACCTTTTAAGGAATTGCAAAGGGATTGAAGACTTTCAACAGAGTGACTTGAGGGGCCACAAACCTGTCCCAGTACATAAATAAAAGTGCAAAAAGCAGATGCCAAAGATCCACAGAATTAGTATGTGCTGCTGGGGCGCTACCATCAGTGAGCCACCTGCAGGCATGGTAACTTGTAACAGAAGTGCAATAGAAACTGTAGTACATACATCGAAGCAGGAGTAGTTGCCAGGTTGCCCTGTGGTTACTGCTTGTGCAAGACAGAAATGGAACCCTGGGTGAATAACAGCAGGGGATTGGGGCCTGCAGCATGTACATGGTTCAGTACAACTCCAGCTGGCAAACTTAAAGCAAGCCTGTCTGTTAAGTGGAGCCGGAAAAAGTCCCCTTGCTTACACTGGAGAAAGCAAGTCTAAGAATCTTCCATCAAAACGAAGCCTCTTTACTGTTTAGGTGGAACCAAGGGTATGGCCAGAAAGTATTGCACATATATTTTGTCTTTGTTCTCCTTAACTGATTTTCAGAAAAAAAATGGAAGCAGCAGTAGGGAAACAAGAGAGGGTCATGACCGGCAGACCTCATCTGGACACCCCTGTCCTCCATTGAATTCTGTGAATGAAACAGTGCAATGGGATGATAAAAAGCCTTGTCCGGAAACACCCAGAGTCTAGACATTTGCTTTTGATTTAGAGGAATCTCTCTAACCATCATCTCATAGGGGTGCCATCCACTGACCACCATCCAGCCAGTTTCAGCTTTGCATCCCATCTGATCTGGACAGCTCTGTAGGCCAAAACCAATCCATTATGTTGTAGTTGTGCCCCTGGAGAGAGCATGAGATGGACCTCCAATTTCTTTGAACTCAGCTGTTCAGAGAAGCCTAGTTCTATAGAAAGCTTATGATTCATTCATGTGAGTAAACATTCTCTCTGGTCTGTGGAGTGCTCACTCACCTTAATTCAGGTGAGCTTTATAGTGTGCGCATTACTATATAAACTTATTTTCTGGCTTGCTGTGTCATGTTTCACCAATAACTGTATGCTCCTCAGGACTGGGACTGTGTTTTTACTTGTCTGTTAAATCTCATGTATACTTTTGGGTGCTAAAAACAAGACACAGATGGTGTCTAACTGCAAGTGTTTGCATGGTTATAAGGAATTGGTGGATTATGTAATTATCAAATAGTCCCAGAGTTAGAAAATGGGCAACAGTTGGAGTGCATACTCTTCCCATTACTCCTTAGTCAGTGAGATAAATGCTCACTTGCCATGAGGTAACCAGACATTTTCAACTTAGGTATTAGTTTGCTAATTATACCCAGTACAATGCTTATATTCAGAGACTCCCAAGGTGGAAAAAAGAGAAATTTCTCTTTAAAATGTGCTTACTGCATGTATTCCAAAGTATAACATTTTAATTTCTACAAATGCACCATTTGTAATACATGCAATATGTGTTATGTACTTCGCTATCCAAACCTTAGAACAAAATATATCCTAAGAAATAGGATTTGTATGCTGCTGAGAAGCTCTCATGTACAATGGTGGGTGAAGTGATATTATCTCCAGCACTGAAAAATGGGTATTATATGCAAGCCTTTGAACTATATAACCCTAGGTAGGATGGAATCAGAAGCTAACTGATACAGGTAAAATAAGTTTCCCTGTGTTCAGAGGAGTTTATTTCCTAGCAAATGTGGTTGAGACTGCAATTTTAGTGCGTATATATTTATAACATTACAAATGTCACAGCTCATTACCCCCACCCCACCCCACCCCAAAGCAGAGTGTGGCACCAGCCAACAGAAGCTGGGGGGGGGGGGTATACACACACATACTGCTGCTACACAATTGCCTTGCAAAGTAGGAAACACTCTTTCTGCAGGGATGCAAGCCTGGCATTGCAAGTATATACAACAGTTTAGGAACATAGAATAGTTCTGTGAAGATTAATTTGCTGGAATCCCATCCTTAGTTCAGCAAAAGATGGATGGGCTGTAACCAATTTCATAGCCACTATTCTGTGAGGTTAGTTGAGGTGATGACTAACTTAAAGTCAACTTGCAGAAAGTGGGCAGAAGGTAGATTTTCAGATGCCTTGGACTGCAAACTTTCAGAAGCCCCTGCCAGGATGCCCAACGTTCAGGAATGCTGAGAGCTTTAGTGCAAAACATCTAGAGATCTACTTTGCCTCCATCCCTAACCTGGGAAACTTCATAGCTGAGCACAAATCTGAATTTGGGCTCCGCAAGTCCAAATCCAACATGCTTTGGTATCATCTTCAATCATTGTTTTCAACTGCGGAAAGTTCACAAGACTTTTCCACAGGAGACCAGGCCTTCTGGACTTGGCCTTGGACAGCCATGCTGAGAAAAGCTGGAAAGTCTTGCCATGTTGCTATTAAAATGTAAGAATCTTCGAGGTGGTGGTGAGGGTGGGAAGAGAGGAAATAGCAACAGCGGTGATATCAATGACCGCCCGTGTTGGCCTGCACAGGAAAAAAGGGGGAGACAGAGCAGCAGGGGAGCAATCCTACTGTTCTCCCCGGCGAAGGAAGATTCCGCCAGCGCTCGGAAAGCCCTTCGTTTGGCCTGGCCGCGGGGAAAGCAAAGAAGAGCTTGGCCCAGCGCCTCTTGAGCCAGCCGAAGGGAAAGCCCGGCACCGCAGCGCCGCCCGCCTCCGCCTAGGTAAGCTGCAGAAAGGCCTAGTGCGCCCTGTCGTTAGGACCACCTCAGGGCGGGATTTGGCGACAGCCGCCGCCTCCTCTCCTGGCGAGCGAGCGCGCACACACCGAGAACAAAAGGAGGATTATTTGCACAGGTTTGTGGACACAACAACCTGAGGTTTGGCAGCCTCTCACACTCTCCTCCTCGCACTTTATTTATTTACTTTTAAAGAAATGGTGCCTATAATAAGCGGAATTATTCGGCGTGGCGCTCTCGGTTGCACTTCAAAATAGGGAACCAGGCTGGGGTTCCTGGGTGGAAGCGGAAGGCACTCTGCCATCGAGATATTTTATTTTCTTACTGCTTGACCCATTTCAGGTTTGCGGCCTTGGCTGCCTCAGTTTGGCATACACGAAGGATTGGTAATGAAATCCTTCCTCGAGCCTACCACCTCTTGTTCTTAATTTGGAAAGGGCGGCGTGAACTTGCAGTTTGTTTTTGTGAATCGGTGCTGTGCCCTCGTTCTCTGTGAAATAACGTTGCTGCAAAACTGCGAAGTATCCTTTTAATCCCCTCTTTTCCCAGCTGCTAACCCCGCTACCAACTCGTGGTAGAGAGGAGCAGACAGAAAGTCTCCCGACTTCATTTCTCTGGCCCCGCCCTCCCGGCTGCGCATTTCCAGACAACCTGCTGTGCTGTATAGCTGGGTGTTTCCCTCACCGAATCGGAGATACCTTATTAGTATTTTCAGCACCTAGCTGCACGCACAGGCTAGATTACCTCTCAAAATTGACATAATGCTTGAGATCCTAGCCTAGCGTGCTGCATTAATCTGGAATGTAAACTAGGCTTGGCTCATACTAAGCAATGAGAGGTCGAATCCTCGCTTCCCGATTAGCGCGCACTGCGAGACGGCTGTGCTGTTCAAGCGGCAATCTCCTTTCTCCAAGATCACACCAAAAACAAAGGTTTTGCCTATACGCTCTGTAGGATCAAATGCAACGGTGGTAAGAGTTGGCGGGCACGAGGGAAATTAAACTAGCAGTAGCCCTTTAAGAGCTCCTCCCTAGCCCCAGTCTTCACATTCCCTCTCTTTCCTCTTGGGCATTAGCTTGGAACTGATATAGGATCCCTCCTGCGGCAGTTCCAAGTTAGAACAGCTGGGAAACTACGTCCTCGGCTAGTAACCCCTGTTTGGAATTCAGCTGCCAGCCAAAACTCTGCAGTATCTTTTAGTCTGACCTCCCATCGTGAGATAAGAGGGGGGAAAAAAAAAACCTGCCACCCCAGGGCATCATACGATAACACTACAGACTCCTCCATTAACTACCAGATAATCTCCCACCCTTGTTGCGAGCAGGTACCTGGGCTGAATTCCCAGGAAGGTTTGTCTGCTTTCATCAAAAACAATTCTCTGTGATCCTTTGGGGCAATCTGATATGATGTGTTTTGTGGAAGAGGTTTCTTTTTTGAAGGCTTCAAAAAGCCCTAAGCAGTCAATTCACTAGTGAGTAAGGAAGAGGAGCTGCTACAGTGCAATGCAAATGAGAAATCCAGGAAAGCGGGTTATTCCCATTGGACCATAGTGATGATAGGGCACTTATTGAGCCTGCATAATCTTAAAACTTGGGTTGGTGTAAGTAAGGCTCAACAGTGCCTCAACACCAGGTGGAGAGGTATAAAGAGCAACTCCTTTTCATACAAGTTGCCAGAGGGAATTGAAAGATTGCATGGACTACATTTGCCCGGACTGGATAGAACTCCCAAACTTAGAACCAGACCTCTTTCAAGAATGCTATTTCAATTTGGCAACTAATAAGATTACGAGTACGATTTTATTTGCTTATTGGAAGTAAATTGCATTGGATTTTCTGGGGCAGCCAAGTAAACATGCACGAGATTCTAAGGCTGCAATACTAAATGCTAGATTATATAAATCTCAATTAATGTGATTTCTTCACTTGCTACTTCTCTTTCTCTCTGAAGGAAGAGGCTCAGTGGAAGTAATTTTGCAGGTCTGCTCTAGTTATCTTGCTTTTAAATAAAAGATTCTTTAAATGTATGACACTTCTGCATACATAGATTGCTGCTAACCACTTATACAACGTGTTTGCACTCCTACTATATACTTCTATCGCAGTAGTGATATTCACCAGGTATGTTTTCATTAAGGAAATGCAGTTAGTTACTAACCTCACTGCTGATGAGTGGTAGGTGCCAGAGACACACGACGAGCACTCCGAAATTCATGCCGACTCCAATCCCCAGAAGTTCCAGACACATTGAAGAGTCGTCGTCGTCGTCGTCGTCTTTTTTTTAAAAAAGTAAGGTTCCCACACTTCAGGCACAGAGGTGAGAGAGTCTGCCAACAGTCTATGCTGTATGTCATGCACAGGGAGTTCTGTGCTCTCTCATTTCTTTCCTACAAACTTTTCTTGTCTGGAAAATAATATACACTCTTAGATAAAATATTTTTTTAAAGGTCCTTAGGGGAAAATGATGGTTGGTTATTTTTCTGCCTGTCTTCTTAGAGAGAAAGCATAGGTGACTGTAAAAGAAGAAAAAGCAGGAAAATATCCCTGTCCAAAAGAGGCATCTCCTTCCATCCCCTCCAAGCACTTTGCTATAAGAAGTCTCTCAACATTTCCCTGGGTTTGGCAATCTGCATAAAAGCAGGGCTTGTTCCTTTAAAGGACAAAAGTGTCTGCTGACAAAAACAATTATTTGCAGTATTCCTTCAAAATCTTAAGCTTCAAAACATTGAAAACTGTAGGGGAAGAGTTGAGGTCTTCATGCTCCTCATTCTTCCTTGTGTAACTTCTTAATGCATTGCTCTCGCCACGCCTTTGGTTTGAATATCTTCATTAGGTTAAATTTCTGTTTGAGGCTTTTTTCCAAAGAGCTTTGGTTGAGTGAGAGTTTGAAGCATGAGTTATGTTTGCAGACAGGTGAGCAAGTGGCTCCGGTAGAGCAGCCTGCTTTTGTGTGTGTGTGAGTGTGCGCGCGCGTGCGCGCGCGCGTGAGTGTGTAAATCGTCCTAAGTCTCCAGACTGGTATTGCTGCTGCTGCTGCTCTCTTGCACTCTGCTCCAGCAAGGAAGAAAAAGGTATGCTCCAGTGGGAGGAGAGACAGCACCAGGGAGAGAGCTAGTTTGGGTCTCTGCAAGAAAATAAGGTGCTAGCATTTCAGTTGTTCCTTCTTTTAAAGGAGAGAAGAGAAAGCGAAAAAGGGGTGGAGACATGGCTTTCAGTAACTCCTCTTTTGGCTATGAAACAAAACAGAAGGGGGAAAAAAATAAGGCACGATTCAGCATTCACCAGATTTTTTTAAAAAATATATCCAGTAACATAGACTGAGCGCACACTGCTTTCAAAGGGGAGAACCTGGGGAATTCTAAAGTGAACAAGGGAGCATATCTCTTATCAGAGCAGGGTTGTGCAGTGTATTTGGCTCCTAATATTCCCTCTTGAAGCTCAGATTTTATTTTATTTTGCAGGCGAGAGAAAATTAATTTGTTTTCTTTTAGTTCTGCCACCTCAGTAATTTTGAAGGAAGAAGAGAGCATTTTTAATAGCTTTGATCTATCTACAGAGTGAGAAGAGAGCCAAAAAAATCTAAAAGTTGTTACAACAGAGGTTGGCACTTGGCATTACTTTCGGTGCTGGAAGGCTTTTCGTTGCATAGTAATTTCCACAATGTAATAAACATCCAAGCTTTGGAAAGTTGAGCCAGCAGATATTTGCTGGGGGAAGTAAGAGCAATTAGTTAATAGGTAAGAGTGAGACAGTCACAGGCTTCTATTGAAATAACTATAGCATTTCCCCACCCAGATGGTCTATGTTTGATGATAATTTTTTTCTACTCCTGTTCTGAATCCATGTACAGAAGAGTGATAATAGGTGCTTGTAGGAGAGGTCTGTTCTTATAATTGTTTTAGTAAAGCACTAGTCACCTAAATCCACAACCCATCTGGCAAAACTCCACCAATCCTTCTCTGCTGTTCTTTTCCTTCCGACACTATGTAAACTGCCCTGAGAATAGTTGTAGGACCACTATAAATGAATTAATACATCTTTGCTGGCAATGTTGAACTTATTTCAGCCTGCAGGCTAAATTTAATTTTGGAGAAACTGGGATGGGGCTCTGTTTTACTGATGGGTGGGGTATGCTGTAAAAATATCAAAATAGTGGCATTTTGCAACTTAAAGCATTTCCTGCCAGTAACTAGACTGGGGGTGGGGGAAGCAGCAGTGTTCCAACCTTCTAAAATGAGGGAAAAACTGCCACATCCAGGAAACCACCAAAGGATCAGTATGTTGGGAAACGGGATGTCATATTGTGGCAAGTCCCTGAAAGATTTGATTGGAACCCCAGATTTGGCTTAGCATCTTGAGGTTCAACACACATGCTTTATGGTGGGCCAGAGACTGGGTTCACACAGCATAAGCCATGGTTGCTTGTTGTGTTGTCTGAATTCAGCAGCATGGATTGTTAACAAGTCTGGCTGGATTCAAACTGCCATGGCTTACTGTAATGTGTGAACCTTTTGGATGGTTGAGCCATCTGACCCAGTAGTGTCTCCTCTCACTACCTGTGCCTCTTGGATCAACAGGTCTTTGCCCTCCTGCCTAGATCAGGGGCAGGCAAGACATTACCCCATGCTGGATTGCAGTCCTCGGGCTCAATCCTTTGCATGCTTAGATGGGAAAGCACCCCACAACTGCTAGTATTCCCTTTGTGTACAATCCAATGCCCTACACTCCTGTTGCATGTAATCCTCTGAACCCAGAGGCTTAGGTGCCTCCAACGCACAGGGCAGGTTGCAGTAGCAATCACTGCTGCCTCTGTGCCTCACACTGTGTGTTTTATCTGGACAGCCATTTTTGGCTGTCTAGATAAAAGTGACAGGGGAGGAAGAAGGCTGAGATGTCAATAGGAGTTGGCAGGAGCCATCAGTCCCTGCTGCTCCCGTGCATCCCTTTTCTTCCTCTCCAGTGTGCAGTTGTAAACTCAGAGAGGTGGCCAGATATGTTCTTTGTATGCCAGCTGTAATGAGGGCAGGAGGGGGCTCAGCCTTAATTCCTGGCCCACAGACCATAAGGCTGAAGTGCTGGGATTCCAGATAATTCCATGGCCACCACAGACAATGCTGAGAGGCTGTAGGATTGCGTACCTCAAGATTGCTTAGAAAGTAGGTCTCCAAGATAATTTGCAGTAATATTTTCAAGGCTTCAGTTGTCAAAACTTTGATAATGGCAACTGCAAAAGCTCATTCTCTCTGCCAGCCCCTTTAATAGACTGCTGAAATAATGAAAGGGAAAACCAGGAATCTGCTTTTATGTGAAAATTATTGTGAACTCATTTCTGGTACTGAATTCATGAGCTCAACACATGTTGTGTAGTTCAAAATGTATGCCTCCCTTTTTGCCCCAGCTACTATTTTGAACTGATTTTATTTAGCCAACGTAAGGAAGTCTGGCCTTGATTGTCCATGTTCAAATGTATTCTTTTTAACACTGAGTGCATGTGAAGATACCCAAAAAGAAACATACTGGTGTCAATACACATTATCCAACTGGAGAATTTGCCAAGGCTTTCCAGCAGGTTCTTGCCATTTCAGAAGTGATCCATTTGCGGAATTTGTGCAGATGCATGCATATAAAACATCTCTGCATTGCAGTTGGGACTGGGCATGGTGTCAGTGCTACGGGGAATAACTTGGAAGCGGTATCTAGATTGTGTTGCTTCCAGCCACTTTATTCTTGATTACAAAGAAACCATTAGTTTTCTTATGCTGCAGACCTCATCCTGAATGCTCCCCCAATGGCCCAGTTTGCACATAGTGGGCAATTATGGGTTAACTAAATGGCATGAGCAGGAGTGAGGAACCCTAAGTTGAAATACCTCTGCTGAGGTTTCTTAGTGGCAGTAAGATCTCTAAGCTTAAATATCCAGGCATTTAAAAAAAAAAAATCCTTGCCTTGCATTTGGTTCTACCTAGTACCAGAATGTTTCCTCCTGCACAGCTGCTCCATATTTGACTTCATACCTCAGCTGTGTAGCCCTGCTTTACACGCAGGACCTGGATCAATGAAGCCTGTGTTACAGAAATGCCCTTTGGAGCCATCCTGTACTTTTTGTGGAGATCTTTTGCCAGAATGTTTTGTGGTCAGGGCAAGTTGGGTATGATGCTGGCTAAGTTCACATGATCACTGTGTATGTAAAAACCAGCTGCATAACTCTTTTTTATGTTGACTGCTTTTTAATATTCATGAATCTAATCTTTAATGTGTTGTTTTATGATAGGATCTAGTATTTGTTTAATTGTGTACTGCTTTGTGCATTCCCACAGGAAACACTGCATAGATTTTTTAAAAACTTCTGCATGTTGACTTAAAAGCCCAATGAAAACCAATGGAACCACAATCTTTACTGTTAATATGTGTTCATGAGTGCAGTTGAAAGCCAAAAGAATGTATATTTTAAGACAGGGGTGAGCAGCCTATGGCCCTTGGGTCACAAAGAGTTGTGGGACTGCATGTAGCCCTTGACCTAATGTAAAAAGCCCTCTGCAAGCAATTTTCTTGGCATGAATGGAGAGCTTTTGTAACAAGGAAATTAATTGCTGTATCTACTTTCAGTTTTGTCACAGATTTGAGATCTAAGCCACAAAAATCTTGCCTTTTCCTGCATTTCTATTACACAACCTATAGATGGTGCAGTACTATAGCAGAATATGCAATTATAATATGCAATTATACAAGTAAGAAAATGACTTTTTTGCTTTGAGAAATAATATCCCATTTTCCCCACTGAGGAAAGTGCTGTTTAATGATAGAAGTGAAACTGGAGGATCTCAGCATTATCTAAGAACCTGAACAATAAATGACTTCTGTAGAAAAGCTTGAAGGTGGGTGGGGGATGAAAGGGAGAGAAAAGTGGTAGGCCTATTCAGCTTCATCTGCATGTGATCCCTGCAACTGATCACTCCCAGGGGAATGAGGAAAAACAACCCCACCCTTCTTTAATACATATTTTTAATGTGCCCCCAGCCCTTCTGTAATACATTTTTAGTATGTGTAATTAATACGCTTTGCTAAGCTCCTTTTTAAAAATGTCTAAGCTGCCCTATACAAGGTCAGTCATCAAAATAGCTATATTACTAGTATTTTAACATGTAAGGAGAAGATGCTAACAATTGCTCCACTTTAGGCGAAGACCAGCATAATAGCACTGTTATTTTTTTCGCCTGCAATTCTGTGCATGGGTTGTAAGTCCAATTGAATGCAGTGGGACGTAATTCTGGGTAAGCATGCATAGAATTGCATTGTAAATAAACTAGACATGCTTACCATCATACCTATAGGACACCATAAGGAATTGTGCATTTGCTGATGGGTGGCACTGCATAGTTACTTTTCTGTATAATAAAACAAAGTATATGCAAAATCCAGGGCCAACTTGCTAAGCAAGGTGGAAGTTGAGGCACAAGGATCTGGGGCATCTCAGGTTGCCTTTTTGAGCCCTTGGCTCACTGTCTTTTCCATATCCGGTTAAATTACGTGGGAGCTAATATGGGAAGAAGGTTATTTATTTACACGTGGATGATGCTAGGCAGAATTTTTAGAAGCATGACTTTCGGGAGCAGTGAAGTCTTACTGATTCTTCAAACAATGGGGAAAAGGATGTTTGGAAACAGGCCATCCATCTATAGCTTTGGATGAAGGCAGAGGTAAATAATATTCAAAGCTTTCAGTGGCTATTTATTTATCATGGGAAGAAGGGAACAGATTGTCTTTCCCTATCATATCTTTAAAGCAGTTTGAGACCAGATCTGAAGAAGGAGTAGAGGCCGAGAGATGGTACAAGGTCGTTCTTGAACAGCATGTCTTAGGTTTTCTAGAGCACCATAGACCACCCTTTGCCAGCCTGGTCCCTTCTGCATGTGGTGGACTACAGCTCTCATCCCCTAACCATCTATGGAAGTTGTAATCCAACACAGATGGGAGGGGGCCATGATGAAGAAGGCTGCCCTGCTGGACCAATGTGACCCAATGTGAAATACTGCAAGAGCATGTGGGGAAACACCAGTGCAGATTCTCGCTTGATCATAATCTTGTTCAGTGGCCTTATGCAGGGCAACATCATGACCAACCTCATTGAATTAAGAAGCCAGAACTTTGCCTTAAGCTCATTTTTGAAAAAATGTGCAAATCAACTGGTTCGATGCTAAGGTGGCCCTTGCTGTTCCTGCTTACATCCTTGGATGTGTTTAGTTTTGGCCAGGAGATAGTGTATCATCACACTGGAAAATTCTGTGCTTCTCACCACCACCTATTTTCAGTGCTACCTTAAAATGTGTGTTGAACCCATATAAACTTGCTCTCTTCTGTTTAATTTCTTTGTCCCAATG